GGCAGAACACAATTGGATATGAAGGGAACTTGATTATATGTATTCTTCCATTATATAAATTTGACATTGCCTCACCTCAGCAATAAAGGAAGTCTGTATGTAAGCAGGTGTATTTAACTCTACTGTTAAGATTAAAAAATATTACTAAAGACAGTTCTCTCCTTACCACTGTTTGCATTCCCATGGTGGCTGTTATTATAAACTTTGTAGCCAGTGGGTATATATGATAAAGGAATCATTATAGGATGACATAAAATAGGATGGGCCATAAACCCAAAATAAAATTTAAATACTTAACTAAAATAATGGTAGTGGAGACATTGCACTAGTTAAAAGTTATTCACTCTGCAATGGACACAGGGCGGTATGTGTGATTTTTTGTTTGATCTGAGGAAGGGGCTGACAGCAGACTGACTTGGGATCCCAAATGGGGCTGGGAAATGAGTCTGAGGGTAACAAATTCTTCTAATTCCAAATTCCTATAATTGAGGAAGACAAACGTCCCTGCTTGGCTACCTGAGATCAGGGCTGGCCTTGTTTACCTTTAACTTTTCTAGGTCAAGGAAAAAAATCTGCAGCAAGAAACTTCTGTGCGGCACTAGCAGGTCAACCCCATCACTCATGAGGGATGAAGATTTCCTGTGTTTGTTTTTAACTGGCCTGTCTTGCTTATAAAAGTGCATCTCTTTTTCCCCAGAGAATTTGTTAATCAAGGTAGTTTGCAGGCTTCAGGAATTAGCTCATTTATTTGGGGCAGCAGAAGAATGAACCAGTTGGGAGCGCAGGCCCTGGGCTCAGGCTGCCTGGCCTTGTAGTCTGACTCTGTAGCCAGACAGCGGGGTGACCCTGGGCCACTTTGCAAGGCCTCACCCACCCTAGGAGGTAGCTACTGCTACTGCTATACGGGGACATTTTATAGATTAGAGGCTGAGTCACAGGGAGGTCTTAGGCCTGGCACTTTATTTTCTAAATATCTAGCACAGAGTAAATAGTCAATAAAAGCCAACTATTACTCTGAGATGTTCGAAGCAAAAATCTGGAAACTGTAGAAGTCATCTTGCTGGGGGCACTTTCTCATATTGTCTGGAATACAAGTTCTGAATTGCTCTTGTGTGCAAGGCTTTCTGTACTGTGGTTGAGGTATTTCGAAGAGATGGCTCCAGCATTCCTATCTGGGAGAAGCCAGGAAAGGTTTGCACTGTGGTATGGGCTCCATTCTCATGAGTTCTGTTAACTCCATGTGACACCCTACCCTAAACTAAGGATGCGGTTACCATCCCGGATTACTTACCACTGCCGGAGAGCCCTGCCTCACTGGTTTCTGAGGTGTATTTGTAGGCATGTGTAATTATTTGGTGGACAATACTGTTTACTGGCCTCTGTAGGGCAAAGCCTGACACCTTTGATCTCTTGTTTCTTGGCTAACAGCAGAGCTAGTCCTTGGAGACTGGGAGCTGGGTTTTCCTCACCACCAGTATTAATGTAATTCACAGAAGGGAGGAGATCTGGATTCTAATCAAGAAACCATTCTGCTTTCTTTTACATGAAAACCTCCAAAATAATACTGGGGGAGTCTTTTCTTTTTCTCTAGAATTTTAAGAAACAAAGGTTCGTGATTTATTTCAAATGCTACATTAAAAATATTTGTTATTATTAAAAAAACAACAGCTTTAGGACAAGAAATTTGAATGTGCTTAGGATAAAACTTAACCAATGGAGAATTTGTTTCATATGTTAAGATCATGCTGAGTCTCTTTAAGCACGAAGTCATTGCTGTTTTAAAGTTTTTCTATCAAAGTGTAATTCATATTAATATTATCAATTTTTACCTTACATAAAACATTTAATCTGCATCTTACTGTGGTAGTTTTCAGCTGAATGGCAAATTTTATAGGGACTAAAAAATAAATAAATAAATTCAAGTACATACCTAATAACTTAAGAGGAAAAAAAATGTAGAAATTTAAAACAATCAAAAAAGGGGGCTTCCCTGGTGGCTCAGTGGTTGGGAGTCCGCCTGCCGATGCAGGGGACATGGGTTCGTGCCCCGGTCCGGGAAGATCCCACATGCCATGGAGCGGCTGGGCCCATGAGCCATGGCCGCTGAGCCTGCGCATCCGGAGCCTGTGCACCGCAACGGGAGAGGCCACAACAGTGAGAGGCCCGCGTACCGCAAAAAAAAAAAAAATGATGGATAACTATCATTTAAAAGCGATAATGAAATGAAGGATTTCTTTGATAGCATTATAAACCACAGTGGAAGTGGAGCATATGCTGGTATCACTATAACATGGTCAAACCAAATTTATGTCGTGCTTGTGTGTGTGTTTGAACACACACTAACTTATGATCCTATTCTTTTATGTTTATTCTATTGTGCTCTATTTCCTTCTCGTTGATCAATGCACAATGTATTTTTCTCTTCAAGTTAGCCCCTGCTTCCCTCCAGCATAGGTGCTAAAATTTTTAAACTTGAGGCTCAGGTGTGGGGCCCTGGGCAACCCCAGGCAAATCTGACAGTATTTAATATTAGCCCCATCTCTATGTGGGGTTATAAGTCTAAACCAGTGGTTCTCAAAATGTGGTCCTAGAGCAAGCAGCATCAGCATTGCCTGGAGTGTGGTTAAAATGCAAATACTTAGGCCCTGAACCAGACCTACTTGATCAGAAACTCTGGGGCAGGGGCCCAGCAATGTGGGTGTTTAGTGAGCCCTCCAGTTGGTTCTGATATTCATTAAAGTTTGAGAGCCTTTGGTCTTAACTTGGTCTTGCTGCCCTGTATCCTGTCTACCTGGGTTGACTTCCTAGATACACACATACCTATAAAGCTCAGTTATCCCCTCTGATTTCCTCATGATTGGGTCTCTGTCTCTCTGACTGGGTTTATGCCCTGATTTCAGATTAACACTCTAGCTCCCAGCTGGGATTTCCACCTGGTCTGCTGGACCACAGCCCTGTCAGCTCCTTTCCTTAAATATATCACAGTCCTGCTTTTACTCTTCTCCCCTCCTGGCTGGAGGACAAGTCTGACATTGAATCGGTTGGGCCATTTGGAGCCAGTTCGCACTGGGGCATCTCCATGACCTGGGAACTCCATGCTGTGCCTCCCAGCAGGCCATAATAGCACTGGCCTAAGAAGACCTCCAGTCCCCTCACCTGTGGACGTTATAGTTGACATTACTATCCTTCTTTATTAGTCCCTGTCCTATAACCTGATAAACATTCTAACCTGCCTAAGGCCCCATTTTATATTACCCTGTCCCTACTGATCTGGATATCAAGAGACTGCATGAGCTATAACATCTATCTGAAGTCAGTGGATACCTTTGGAAAACACTACAGTAGAGTTAGGTAAACATTTTAGGGTAAAACATGTATTGATTTGGGACAAATCCTTCAGAGTAAAGAAAGACAATAGTAGAAAATGAGTTATATTTGAATTACTTTAAGAAAATGTTGCCACTTTATGTTCTGAAATAAAGCACCACTTTATGTTCTGAATATTCTAATTTACCTGATAGAGCATTCAATACATTTATCTTATGAGGATTGGTATCCTCTAACTTCTGCTTTCCAAGTCCTAATTTTTCCACGCATGGATCCACCTACTGAATTTATTTTCCCGAAACCTGAACACACCATTATCTTACTATCAGTTTACAGGAGACTCAATACTATAGCGTTTAATAAAATATTCGTGCTCATCCAGAGGAGCCTATAAGCAGCTACCACCGTGAAAGAAATTGAAGGTCACATTTATATGCCTAGAAAATAGTTCAACAAGTATTTCAAAACATTCTCCATTTCAACCTTTGGTCAAAGCCCTTTTATGTTTTAGCAATATTCACAATACTTGAAGAGGTCCTTTTTTCCTTGAATTGCATTTACTGCATAACCACTTGGCCCAGTTTAGACATAAGCTTTCTTACCCTAAACTCATGAGTCCTGCTTCTGCTTCTATTTGTCAGATGGATAGAAATTTGTCAGTAAAGCCTTAACAAAAGGAATTTACATGCGTACTTATATTCATTCAATTTTCCATGGAGCAATTATTTATTCCATTCTACTATGTGCCAAGCACTACATTGGTGCTGGAATAACAGAGTCCTTGCCTGAAAAAAATCTTCTTGGAAATCCCCTCCCAGTCAGATGGATCTTTTCTTGTCAGAGATGGTGGGTATGGATTTGCCTCACAGAGAATGGGTGGGGACCAGGGAGGGGCTGCATGATCATCAAGATGTAGGGCTTTGGAAAGTAAAATGTGATCTATGAAAGCACTGTTACATTCTGGGATGTGAAAATGAGGACCCAGATCAAAGAAACAAAGACAACAACATTTTACTTTTTCACAATTGGTACAAGCTATTCATTTTTCATCAAATCTTCTACTACCTGCATACTTTGGGTTAATAGCAATCATCTTCCAAGCACTGCTTACTGGATGGCCCCTAACTGAAGCCTTGACCCGATTTTCCTTTAAGAAATTGTCTAATCTGTGTCTATAGCATCCCTCTGGCCAAACATATGGTTGAATAATCAAATACGTTTAAGCATTTCCTGTGTCTCTAATTCTATCCTAAGTGCTGTGACAAATTAAAAACAAAGCAAATTCATTTTCTCCTTGGTATTATAGTTTTTTCTCTATAAATTCTACTGTATCATAAGTAACTTGAGGACAAGACTCATGTCTCACTCATTTTTGTGAACTCCATGGATTATCACATTATACTCAGTAAATATGATTGAATGGAAAAATTCATAAAGAAATTCATTTCTAGGGACTGTAGACTACAAACATCATCCTGAGATTTCTAGAACTCTTGGAAAAGTCAGTTCTGTTGGTGATAGGTCACACTGTTTCACCTTGTGAATGAAGGTCAACTTGACCCCAGGGAAAGTTAGTGTACAGACATGCCATTGTACTCTTGACCAGTCAGCAACATCAGAAACAGTGCAGCCATGCCTCATAATGATTTCCTTTGTTAAGCAGTGTCACTCACCTGATCTGAAGCCAAGTCAGCATGGGGGTTGTTCCTCCTCCGAATACCCAGACTGTGAAGAACACGAGGAGCAGAGTGGTGGTAAACATCATTTGCTTGGGCTGAGATTCTGTGTTCCGAATAGCTAAGGCAAAAGCTATCGCTCCTCGCAAACCTGATGGAGAAAAACCAAAGAAGGAAAAGAAACATCTGCACGAGTGTCATTCTCATTTCATTGAATTTATCTTTACAATTTACTGACAAACACAATTGTATTTTAAAATTAAACTTTTAACTTTGAGATAACTGTAGACTCACATGCAGTTGTAAGAAATAATAGGGACTTACTGTGTGCCCTTTCCCCATTTTCTCCCCAGCGGTGATATCTCGTCTTGCAAAACTGTCTAGTACAATATCACACCCAGGATTTTGACACTGATATAGTCAAGATTCAGTACATTCCCAACACCATAAAGATCCCTCATGTTGCCCTTTATACTCACACCTACTTCTCTTCCACAAACTCCTTAACATCTGGCAGCCAGCAATCAATCATCCATTTCTATAATTTTGCCGATTCAGGAATGTTATATAAATGGAATCATGAAGTACGTAGCCTTTTGTAATTGGCTTTTTTTTTCACCCAGTGTAATTTTTGGATACTCATCCAGGTTGCCAAATGTATTGATAGTTTGTTCCTTTTTATTGTTGAGTAGTATTTCCATGGTATGGATATTCCACAGTTTGTTTAACCATCATCTGTTAAAGGACACCTGGGTAGTTTCCAGTTTTGGGCTATTACAAAAAAGGCTGCTGTGTGAATGAATGTAAGTTTTCAGCTCTCTGAGATAAATGCCCAGGAGTGCAATCACTGAGTTATATGGTATTTGCATGTTTTTTTTAATTAATTGATTTTAATTAATAATTTTATTGAAGTAACATTATTTAAATTTATATGTATAACATTGTATATATTACAACATGTTTCACGTGTCCAACATTATATTTCTTTTTTTATTTAATTTTTTATATATATATATTTTTTTTTTTTTTTTTAATTTTATTTATTTATTTATCTTTTTGCGGTACACGGGCCTCTCACTATTGCGGCCTCTCCCATTGTGGAGCACAGGCTCCGGACGCACAGGCTCAGTGGCCATGGCTCACGGGCCCAGCCGCTCCGCGGCATGTGGGACCTTCTCAGACTGGGGCATGAACCCGTGTCCCCTCCCTCGGCAGGGGGACTCTCAACCACTGCGCCACCAGGGAAGCCCCTATAGCATGTTTTTAAAAGAAATTACTACCAAACTTTTCCAGAATGGCTCTAGCATTTTACATTCCCAGCAGCAATAGATAAGTCATCCAGTTTCTCCGCCTTTACCAGCCTTTAGTGTTGTCATTATTTTAAATTTTAGCCATTTTGATAGCTTATTGGGGTTATAATTTCCATTTTCCTAATGGTATTGTACATTTTTTAATGTGCTCATTTGTGATCCATCTACCTGCTTGGGTGAAATGGCTCTTTGTGTCTTTATCTCATTTTCTAATTGAATTGTTAGATGTTTGTTAAATTTTGAGAGTTCTTTATATATTCTAGATAATAGTCCTTTGTTGGATATATAGTTTGCAAATATTTCCTCCCACTTTGTAGCTTTTTATTGATAAAGTCTAATCTGTTGATTTTTCCTTTTATAAATCATCTATTTGGAGCCAGGTCTAAGAACTCTTTACTTAGCTCTAGGCCCCAAAGATTTTCCCCTATATTGTAAAATTTTTTCTAAAAGTTATTTAGCTTTACATTTTACCTTTAAGTCCATGCTCATCTTGAGTTAATTTTGGTATAAGTGGCGAGTTTTAGGCTGAAGATCTTTTTTTTTTTTTTTTTTTTATGGTACACTGTCATGATTACTGTAGGTATATGGTAGGTCTTAGTATTGGGTAGACCTCCTGCACTGTTGGTGGGAATGTAAATTGATACAACCACTATGGAAAACATTATGGAGGTTCCTTAAAAAACTAAAAATAGAACTACCATATGACCCAGCAATCCCATTACTGGGCATATATACCCTGAGAAAACCATAATTCAAAAAAACAGATGTACCACAATGTTCATTACAGCACTATTTACAATAGCCAGGACATGGAAGCAACCTAAATGTCCATTGAGAGATGAATGCATAAAGAAGATGTGGCACATATATACAATGGAATATTACTCAGCCATAAAAAGAAATGAAACTGAGTTATTTGTAGTGAGGTGGATGGACCTAGAGTCTGTCATACAGAGTGAAGTAAGTCAGAAAGAGAAAAACAAATACCTTATGCTAACGCATACATATGGAATTTAAGAAAAGAAATGGTACTGATGAACCTAGTGGGAGTGCAGAAATAAAGACGTAGACATAGAGAATGGACTTGAGGACACTGGGTGGGTGGGGAAGGGGGAAGCTGGGGCAAAGTGAGAGTAGCATCGACATATATACACTACCAAATGTAAAATAGTTAGCTAGTGGGAAGCAGCCGCATAGCACAGGGAGATCAGCTCGGTGCTTTGCTACGACCTAGAGGGGTGGGATAGGGAGGGTAGGAGGGAGGCTAAAGAGGGAGGAGATATGGGGACATATTATGCATATGGCTGATTCACTTTGTTGTACAACAGAAAATAACACAGTACTGTGAAGTAATTATACTCCAATAAGGATCTATTTAAAAAAAAAATCGGGTAGAGTGATTCTTATTTTTCATTTTCAAAACTGTTTTAAATATTCTAGATCTTTTGCCTTTCCATAAAATTTTAAAGGAATATTGTCTGTATTTACAAAAAAAATCTTTCTGGGTACAAATACTTTTAGAAAATCAAGTGTGTTAGACAACAAGGAAAACCAAGCTTATGGACCGTTGAAAATTAATAAACGATTAAATGACATTTAAGAATTATTCCAGCCTGAGAACATACTTTTACAAAGTCTATAATCTAAACTGACCTATTAAAACCTGCTTTTTTGTCTATTTTTCTTCTTTAATAATAATATGTTAATTGAATTTTTATGAAGCCATATTAAATATATTTGCAAGAAGATGTTAAAGAAGATTAAATGCTACAATTTCAAATCAAAGTGTGATGACATTATAAAAACAGATGTAGACTTTGAAGAAAAGTAAATAAAAGCACGAGTAGTAAAACTAAAAAGTTAAAATTGAAAATCTCTCTTGGGTAACACAAGACTTATAAGACATTTACAGGCTCTGTTACACCACGTAACAGGGCAAATAAACATTTATAATGATAGCAAGTATAAGTCAAAGGTAGTGATTTTTGCTACTTTTATAGGAAGGTTTAAGTCACATACATAAAATTTCAATGGTCCATTTTTTATAATATTTATTGTATTAATATCATCTAGGTTTCTAATTTTCTAAATCTTTATTCATACATTAAGAGACTTTTAGAAATTGGATACAGGTTAGGATGGGAAAAACTATAACTACTTTGGTCTTTATCCTTGGCTTCGCAACTTAGAATATAATGTTCCTTTCTCATCTTTACACTGAGAATATACAAGAGACGAGTGGCATAACACAAGATCCAGAGGATTAGAATAGAGAGACTTAATATATTTTGCCTGAAAGAAGGAAGCCTCAGAAAGAGAGAGGAACATGCACTCTGATTATAAAATTACCTTCAAGGAACAAAATGTAATGGAGGAAGAAAATTATTCTAAATCTCCATGTAGACAAGGAAATGGCCTGAAGATAAGAAAGATAACATTTGAAGTAGATATTAATAAAGAAAAAAAATTTTTTCATCAGAAATTCTGAACACTTAGATGGCTGTACTCAAGAAGAGTACACCAGAGACGTTCATGCACTTAGACCCAGCTGGGGACAAGAGAGTGGGGATATTAATAACCCTTATTACTGGAGAATATTTCAATAACGTTCTCTCCAGGAAATACAAATGGTGTCATTAGGGAATGAGAACTGAAAGAAACAGTTTTCCAACAGCCTTCTATATCTGAGGAGAAAATGTATAGGTTAAGGTAAAGCTCCTAGCAGTGTTTAATCAGGACAAGATTGGAGATAGAAAGTGATCTTTTCTTTTTCCCTTTTCCTCAAGCTCACATTTCCAGAAGTGTCCATAAAGAAGCATTACTCCAGTTAAGTGGTGTGTATTAGAAATATTAAGTGATAAGACTCTAAGTATTTGTTTTCATTATATTGAATATTTGTGTGTGTGTGTGTTTTTGGCTTTGTTTTTTCATTTTTTGTTTTGTTTTTACTTTGAATTTTGTGAGAAAGAGAAAAATAGAGACTGGAATAAAAGTTAAAACTTGCTACGTCATGTTTATTGTAAAGTTCATGTTAGTTATCAAGGGCAAGGAAGGACATAATCATTTATCTTCCTGAATATGTTTAATAATGTATTGTTATTATGTTAAACTAGCATAACTAGGCTCTTAAATCTAAATTATCTAGACATGAGCAGTTCTTAGTTTAAAAATATACTCAAAAGATGTATGTTATTCTGACTTCTAAAAAAATCTGTATCCTATAAATAAAACTCTATATTTACAGGAGATGCAATGTGGAGATCTCTTTAAAAAAAAGAAGAAAGAAAAATGCAGCCACTGCCTTGTACTTGTACTTGTGGAATATTAAGAAACATTGATATTTAGAACCAACTTCAAGATGGCTCTATAAGAGAAGCCCTCCCCCATATAATGGTCACCTAAAAAAACACAGAAACAGTGTGTTTTTGGAGAAGACAGTATCTGTCTGTAGCCCTGGCCACTTTTCGCAAATATGGCTCATGCCACATGTGAGATGGCCTAGTAGCATGGGAAGCATGGAACTGAGAAAGGTGAGGTCACTAAGTAGACAAAGTGAAGCTCATTTAGAACTCTAGATGAGAACAACTGCCTACATACCATTCATCCTTTATGATGCCAAAGTTATTGATCACGCATTTGGCGCCTAGACAATTGTCAAATCAATGGCCATTCGTTGGCTTCATTCAGCACATATGTGTCTTAGCCTGACATAACAAAATACCACTGTCTGGGTGGCTCCAACAACAGAAAATATTTCTCACAGTGTGGAAGCTGAGATGTCTAAGATCAGGGTGTCAGCATGGCCAGGTCTGGTGAGAGCTTTCTCTCTGGCTTGCAGAAG